CCAATTCCACTGCTGGATCTATTTTTATATAAATCATATATATTAGTAACTATAAATGTACATGATTATTACAAAAATGAACCCTAATAAAATAATATATAGGAAATATTGCCACTAAATTTTTAATCATTTAATTGATTTCTGACTGACAGAGTAGTCAATGAGTTTATTATCCATAGCCATAATCTTAAACAAATATATTTTACCATTCCTTTCTATGGTCAGTCGTTGAAAAAGTATAGTACGCACCTCAATGATAAGACCAATTACGTCTTCTCGCGAATATTATCGCACTCAGCTAACGCCTCCTGCTTACGATTTTTTTCTCGTTGGTAATTGGCTCCTTATCCCACTCGGTACGTAATATACTATTATGTGGGACAATGTGGCGGTATGACGAACACAAAAGTTCCTTCAGACTAGGTGAAAATGATTCAAACCATTCCTTAGGATGCAACCACAAGTTCCCGAATCTATGCACTATGCAGACAAGGGTTGGAAATTCAATAATTTGAAACCCTTGGAAATTCATAAGCATGAGCATTGCGGATGTAACCTACTGAATGACCGAATCCACCTAGTCTACTCGTCTGTTAAATGGCCAGAAAAATTACCAGACACAATTATTTTGGATAATTCTCTTCAGGATAATTCACAAAGTGGAAGTCATTGTCATAAAACTGTAAATATCGAAACATCAAAGAAAAAGATTATTCAAGAAATCCGTTCTATCACCCCAGACGTAGAAACAGTTCAACACGCCTTTTTCAATAGATTGGGGTATTTTCTTGCCATTAATAGCAAAAGTAATTTAACATTTGATTTGATTCAATTATTTTCCAAGGAGTTATTTGAAAAAATTAACATGAATTTTACTGCTTTCAGAATATTTTCATTTGAATATATTTTGATAAATATCCTCGCTGAGCATATACTGATTTTGACAACCTTTCTGTCATTCCAATATGAAAAATATATCACCAAAGTTGTAACAAGAGATACATGACCATTTGCATTTTTGAAATTTAGGATACCACCTGTTTGAACATATTTTGGAATCAACAGGGTATACATTTTTTTTCAAATTCAATTCATCCGTTACTTTTCCGAAGCAGTATCATCGCGTTACCATGCAATTTCATAAAAAGTGCAAATTTTTTTATTCCAAAAATATCTTACCTTTTCTATTAGGAAACTCATTTTTATACATGCGATAAACGGCAGCATGAGACATGATAATAACCTTGGTACATTCGAACTCTTGATATTCCAAACCAGGCGCACTCTTCCCATTACCATAGCCATAGTTACAAATTATTCTTGGCTCATTCACCGTAATCCAGTAGTCAACTTTTTCTAGTATTTCAATGACTATTCGGGAGTAATCAACGAATATATCAATAAGTTTTGGGTTGGTCCACCCGCCAAAATCTTTTTGTAGTCGTTGGGGTAAATCAAAATGATGAAGCGTTACTACTGCTTTCATATTGTGTTTCACTATTTCATCAATTAAATCCTCGTAATACTTGAGGCCAACTTAACTCGTTTGAGAAAATTTCAAACTTTGTTAAAGAACACATACGGAAGGCCAATAACAACTATCGTGAAGCCATACCTGCTGAGGAACGTTTAGCAATTACTCTAAGGTAAGAAATAACATTACATACTGCCAACATAAGTGCTTTAATAGAATAAATTTTCCTTATTTATCTACTAAAATATTTGGAGCATAATTAGTAAAATAATTAGTGAGTGATGATTCCCTGTCACTCTGATTTATAAACTGCGTTGTTCCAGAAGAAGTATCTTGAAATTGAATGAATGTAGAGTTATTAGCGTCACCAGGAGTCGTGGGGGAAAGTAGCGGTGTGGACATATTACTAACTCGGGAAGAACATCTAGTATTTGGATGGAGAACCAAAAAGCCACCTGCTTTTTCTTTCTCATATTGTAATTCTGGTTTTGCCATCAATTGAGCAAGTCTTGATTTTGCTTCTATTTGTATTCGTGGTGAAAACGTTTTGACTGTTGTTGCATATCCTGAAAAAATCAAATCAATAGCATCAGCTTTTTTTTCTTTCCCTGAAGAATGTTTTTCCTTTAGGTAGGAAAGAACTGTGTCAGTAGCAGAAGGAGACTTGGTGGTTCCACTCGATCTTTTCACGCACTTTGGATTAGAGCTTCGAGAGTTTTCTTTAGATAATGTTGAATTATCATTAGGCAATGAAATTTCTTCCGTGTCTGGATGAGTCATACCGTCTTGGATTTCTAGCTCATCTCGAAGAGTTTTGCTAGTAACAGGTGACTCTGATCTCTCATAAATCTGAGTACTAGCAGGCACAGATTCAGCGTCAGTATTTTTTTCACTTGTAACATATGTTATGTTGGTAACGGTGTTTGCAAAAGTCATATAAGAATGAAGGAACTCCATCAGCTTCGCCCATTGACATTTATATAGCTTTTGTTTAGCACTTTGACCTGTGGTAGTTTCTAACGACTTCAAGTACTTTGCATAACTATCTCTTAAATTATTCCACTTTTTCTTTAATTCTTCCCCTAGAAATAAAAAGATGAGGTATAAAATACATTCGCATCCACAACTTTTTTAATTTTACGTTGAAATGGAAGGAAAAAAAATCATGAAATACCTATATGTAGATAGTGAGTAGATAAGCGATAATGTGATACATGGCAGAAAAATAGCACTAATATTCTCTTTTAGGTTTTTGGCAACTGGCGACAGTTACTACACTATTGGCCATAGCTACAGGATAGGATTTTCAACTGTTGGTGTTATTGTTCGAAAAGTATGTCAAGCAATTTGCGAAAGAATGGGAATGACTATTCGGGAGTAATCAACGAATATATCAATAAGTTTTGGGTTGGTCCACCCGCCAAAATCTTTTTGTAGTCGTTGGGGTAAATCAAAATGATGAAGCGTTACTACTGCTTTCATATTGTGTTTCACTATTTCATCAATTAAATCCTCGTAATACTTGAGGCCAACTTCGTTGATGCTGCCCATATATCCTGAAGGAAGAATTCTGTAAATAACGGATATATTTTCAAGAAATGTTGGATATATAGATATTTCAACGTTTTCAGAATTAGAAAATTGAATTGAATTTTTTGAGTAACACTTCATTGTGGAATTTTCTCCTCTACCACCCTCTACATCAACCTTCGATATTCCTTTCGTTTTTTTTTATTTTCATTATGCACCCCTTAACACATACAACTCTTTGACAAAATATTTTTTTTGTTTCACATCATCAGAGAAACAAGTAATGAATATCAATCTGATCCTGTTAACCTAATGGGGATGGATGTAAAAGCAATGTCTAATTTGAAATTTCAAGGAACCTATCATTTTAGGAGATCATACGTGTGCATGACTTGAACCATATTATAAAGATACTATCTTTAAGGATCCCCCACACCGGCGCGAAACATTCGCTGCCGCAGCGGACGCGAATTTTCCGCTGCGGAAAATTTTCTGGCGTCGCGGCAGCGGAACATGTTTGCCCACAACAACGAGGCAGTATTTTTGCCGCCGCAGTCTTGGATCTTCCGTGGTTATTTATACATTCCACTTAAAATTATTTTTTGAAAATATTTATCGTTAACATATTGCAATGTCTTCGTCTGATTCCGATGAAGAAGAGGGTAGGTAGTGGGTACTTGAACATATTTATGGTAATAATAATATTACTGGCACTTTTTTATTTCAACTTTGTTGAAGAACACATACGAAAGGCCGATACCAACTATCGTGAAGCCATACCTGCTTACCAATTACTCTAAGGTAAGAAATAACATTACATACTGCCAACATAAGTGCTTTAATAGAATAAATTTTCCTTATTTTTCTACTGAAATATTTGGAGCATAATTAGTGAAATAATTAGTGAGTGATGATTCCCTGTCACTCTGATTTAAAAACTACGTTAATTCATTTGCTTGTCCTGATTGAAAATCTGGAAGACATGACGAATTGTAAGCCGTTGCGAATGTGACCTCTTTGTTGCCAGCATTAGCATAGTAGTCAGTAGTTCCAGAAGAAGTATCTTAAAATTGAATGAATGTAGAGTTATTAGCGTCACCAGGAGTCGTAGGGGAAAGTAGCGGTGTGGACATATTACTAACTTGGGAAGAACATCTTGTATTTGGATGGAGAACCAAAAAGCCACCTGCTTTTTCTTTCTCATGTTGTAATTCTAAATCTGCGATCAATCGAGCAAATCTTAATTTTGCTTCTATTTGTATTTGTGGTGAAAACGTTTTACTTTAAAGCTGTACCTGATGAGACCTTACCCATATCGACAGTCACGTATAGATATCCAAAAAGAAAATTATAATACAAGATTATGCAAAGCACGTAGGGTTGTTGAAAATGTATTTGGGATTTTAGCACAAAAATGGCGAATATTTTACAGACCAATTGAGTTGTCTGTAGAAAATGGTATTTAATTAGTAAATACAGCTTGCATTTTGCATAACTTTTTAAGAACAGAAAAGAGTGATGATAGATATTTTGAAGATTTGGAACCACCACAGCCAGGTTTGAATGCATTTCAAGACCGACTTAAAGATCCACGACGTGCAGTTTCCTTGGAATTTGAAACACGTGATGAAAAAGTCTCAAAATATATGTAATAATAAACTCACCTGTTTCTCCCAAATCTAACCCTATACTGTCCCAAATTTGTCTTTTTTTCTTACATTTTTATATTCATCATGCGAAAGATCATAAATAATTGGATACTTTTTTACTATTTCGATCAGCTTCTCCGTTGAAAACACCATTTTCACGACAAACAGACTGGCGAATCGATAGAGGCAGCGAAAAAAACTCTACATGCAGCGTTGGAGCGAAACGACGCTGCACTACCGCGGTCATTGCCAAATCCGCATCTCCCAGTGTGAATACATGCATATACCGCCGTGTCTTTTGTTCCGCTGCGGTTCCGTGTCCGCTGCGGCAGCGAATGTTTCGCGCCGGTGTGGGGGATCCTTAATACTGTGCTTGAACCTCCATTTATTTGTCATAGTCTTCATTCCTCACACACATTTTTTTTTAATTATATTTTCATTAAATAGTAACTGTTACAGTTTTAAGAACATTCAATGTTCTGGCGTTGTATTCCAAAAAACATCCTACTTCTTCATCTTCATTCAATTATTCACTTCCTCACATATTTGAACTGATTTCAAATCTATAAAATCAACTAATTGATAAACTTGCGAAGATATGGTCTTACAGATATACAAAATAGATATCACTATCATTTTCTGAAATTAATTTTTTCAGGAGAAATATTATTCATTTTATGATACCCATTTTTACAAGAACATTCATTTTAGACTGAAGTGTGAGCAAAAATAATACTGTAATACTAGTTGAGTAACATGAACCGTTGACATGTTCACATTATTAATTCATAATTTTTCACTTTCATTCCTACGAAGTTATATACACCAACGATTTAGCTTTAAACATCAAAATAAATCGCACCATTATTTCTAATTGTAGTTGATTCTTTGTAGAGAAGCATACACTCAACAAAATAAATGAACTCACAACCTTTTCATGTACTTTTAGCAATCCCAGATACATACAAATTATGGAGAAATTACCTAGTCCAAGAAATGGAGATCCTGTACGCCGAAAATCCCAGACTTGCGGCAAGGAAGACATCCTCCTTATATTTATGATAAGAATCACAAGCTTCGTCGGCATTGTCATTATTTACAATCCTCATTGGATTTTCATGGATGAAATGATCCCATATATTCTCGCCTTTTCCATCTTCATTCCAAGCACCTTCTATTTGGTAAGCCGATGTTGAAGCACCAAACATAAATCCCTCAGGAAAAGATCCATTGTTTTTTTTGGATTCATGACTACAATAAAAAGGTGTTTATCAAAGTGGAAAACCTCATGAAATCCAAACAGGAATTTTGAAGTTTTCAAAATGACTGACATATTCAAAAATTCTCTCCTGCAGTTTTGCAGAATCTCGCTCCTCATCTCAACAGAATTGTGGTGTCAGTGGAACTGTGTGACAAACTTTTCAAGTCTACAGTCAGTGCTTTTGTGCCGAGGTATAAATTTCATTGTGCAATTAAAATTAAAACGAGAGTAAAATGTTTAGCTGGAAAGTGTGCTTTTGGAACAGAGCTAAATATAGTTTTAGCTGACAAATTCATCATGGGGCTTGACGACCCATGGATAATACAAAAAATTTCTATGAAAAAATCACAATCGACTTCGACAAGGTCATAGAAATTGCGAGCTGCCAAGTTGAAAAGGCGTAGATAAAAAACAGCCTACGAGTGAGGGAAGAAGTTTTTTATCAACACATGGGTCAACGGAATCAAAACACAAAAATCATCAGAGCTTTGATAAACAAAGTCATTTTTCAAAAATTTGTAGACGTGAAATATTTGTTTGCAGGACGATGCAAATGATTTAGAGTTCGATGTAGGTGAGTTATTAAAGTCAATGTTTACTATAACCTCAAAACTAAAACAATATGAAGCAAAGATAATTGAAAAATTCTTTACCACTTTCAGTTCAATGATTTCAGAAAACCTCGCTATACAGACATTACCATCCCAAGCGATTCTTTCCATCCAGACATTCATAAATTAGCAGCCTACAATTCAATGTTGCACAGAGCATGCTCACTGCCTTTGTCTGCTAACAATCTAGCTAGGGAAATTATAAGTACACAAATAGGTCATAATAATGGTTTCAACGCAGATACTATCCAGAAGTTAGTCAAAAACAAAGCCGTAAATTCACTTGCAGATTGATATACCCTCAGGCAAACAACCAGAAATTAAAAAATTGGTAACATATTTTGGAAAAAGAACACAGATAATTGCGGGGTTTTTTTTAGAAAAAACAATGTGGAAGTAGCATTCAGACCACATGCCAGATTTTCTGATTTCCTTTCCAGTGTCAAAGAAAAGGTGGACAAGTTGGAGAAATCTGGAGTTTATAAGCTTAAGTGTCTGGATTGTAATAGTGTTTATGTGGGATAATGTGGTCAGAATTTCCAAAAACGATATGCTGATCATGAAAGGTCCTTCAGATCGAGAAAAAATGATTCGACATTTTCATACCATTCCTTGGCATGCAACCACAAGTTCCTGAATCTGAACGATACGAAAAGTTTGCGCTATGTAAGGAAGGGTTGCAAACTCAATTATTTTGAATCCTTGGAAATTCACAAGCATAAATATTGCGGGTGCAACCTGTTGAATGATCAAATCGATTTAGTTTACTCACTGGTTTTCAAACTAGCATATCCGCATTGTAACTAGTAAGCAAAATTCAGGTACTCAATCAAGCCAAGTACCTCTATTATTACCTACAGGGGTGCTATATGAGGGCTAATGTAACCAATCATTGTTAGTTTGATTTATAAGTTTGAAAATGTCCTTATAGGACGAAACTGCAGTAACGTTAGTTACAAATAAAAGTGGTAATAAACATAGAAAGTTTCAATTCTCTTTTCTTCATTATGATCCCTACCACATAGTAAAGGTTACATCCATCGATTTATTGGAACAATATGATCTAATTTCTTTGGGAGTTTTACTTGATGGCAGGGTATTTTTATTTGAACTGAATACAGGGGCCTCAGTTTCAGTAGTTTCCAATGAATTATGGCAAAAATATCTGAACCTTTTCATTTTAAACTCTGTTTAAAAAAATGAATGAAACGTACTTGGAAAAAGTTGACAATGAAAATACAAAAAAAGTACTTGTGAAAAAATTTCCTAAAGTCTTTTCATCTTCTTTAGGTTGTTATAACGGTAGCATCATACATTTGGAGTTGAAAGAAGGAGCGCAGCCAAAGTTTTTCAAGCATTGACCTTTGCCTTTTGCGATACGTGAAGGCATTGAATAAGAATTAAAGCGACATTTGGATGAAGGTATTCTGAATCCAGTATCACACAGCGATTGGGCATCACCCATCGTTCCTGTAGTTGAGAATGGAGGAGAAATCAGAGTATGTGGTGATTTTAAGATTACCCTCAATCCAATCTGACATGTTGACAAGTATCCACTTCCACGAATTGATGAATTATTTTGTAAGTTACAAGGAGGATTGTAGTTTAACAAAATTGACTTATCAATTGTTCATCAACAAGTTGAACTTGATGCTTAATCTAAATTGCTAACAATAAGTACACATGAGGGGTTATTTGTTTATAATAGGTTACCTTTTGGGATTTCGAACGCTCCGGTTATTGTTCAGAAAATAATGGAAGAAACATTAGCTGGTATAGAAAGAGTAGCATGTTTTCTTGATGATATTCTGATAACAGGGCGTAATCGCTTAGAGTAGGGAGCAAGAAGTTTTAAAAAGACTCGAAGATAGATCATCAAAAATATCTTTAACAAAAGTTGATTTTTTCATAGAGTCGGTGAAATATTTGGGATACAAAATTGATAAGAATGGGTTACATACATGTAGTAATAAATTTGAATCAATTTTGGAAGTAGCTGTGCCTCAAAATGTTAGAGTAAAAGAGGTTAATGGGGGTCACTTAAGCTAGAACTCGAATAAAAGTGTAATCATAAACTACTCAACTAAAATCATTTCAAGGGTTCGTACATTTTTATAGTAATTTAATAAAATATGTTTCATTGCTTTGGCAACCTTCGAATAATTTATTGAAGGAAAATGTAGAATATTACTGGAGTGCAAAATGTGAAGGAGCATTTCAAAAAGTAAAGAATGTTTTGACATCTTCTCCAGTGCTAGTTCACTACTTTCCAGATCTGCCTGTTATTTTAACTGTGGATAGTTCATTTTATGGTATTGGTGCAGTTATTTCACATCGTTATCCTGATAATGAGGAACGGCCAATAGCATCTCAAACTTTAACTTGAAGTGAACAAAACTATTCACAGGTAGAAAACAAAGGTTTGGCAATAATAGTGGATGTTAAGTTGTCTTTAAGAAATGACGTTTGAATACACAAACAACCATTCCAAGTAGTGTTAATTTTTTTTGTTCAACTTCCCCTTCCACCACAAGAATCAATATTGTTGGTTATAAACATCACGTTGGTATTTTTCCAATGTTCAATATTTCAATATGTTCCATAGATGTTCTGTAGATGTTCTGTAGGCCGATGTTAGCATGATAACGAGCTCTGAAGGACAATTTCATATTCATTATCAACGAATGAAAAATAGTTATAAAGTTATGAGAAAATTCCTAGATTTTTATCACCAGTCACCAGGATCTGGAGTTTTTTCCCAACACCAAACCGTTTTTTAACACGTCGACACGAGTTTCAATCACCAAGTGATCATCTTCAAGAGTAAGATCAAACTGTTCGACACGTATTTCGATCACCGAATGATCATTTTCAAAGGAAGATCAAACTGTTTGATCTTGAAGACGATCACTTGGTGATCGAAACACCTGTTAAGGTGTTAAAATAACGATTGGGAAAAAACTCCAGTATTATTCAATTCAGTTTATTATATGATTTTCACTTAAAATCATACAATGAACTGTATTAATTAGTTTTAATATGGAGTTTTTTCAAGTACCGGCCAGTTCTATTCAATTTTATGTGTCCATCTATTGTATACCTATTGTATCATATTCATGTTTGCCTATTTTCTTTCATTGAATCATAAATACTCTGCTCACTTGTCTTTTTCTCTCTTTTCAAATTTTACAATTTTGCTATTCACCTTGTATGTATTTTCCGTGCATTGTTTCAAAAGTGTTTCGGTATTTGCATTGCTCTCACTGTTCCTCTGGTGTGTCATGCAGAGTGTGTCTTTCTTCTTCAAGTGGTGGTATTGCTATACCTTTTGATACTCTCTTTTGAACCTCATTTCCTTGTGAGTCCATACACGCTGGTTGAAGCTGGAATAGCAACATCCCTATTATTAGTTTTTGGTCAGTATGATATCAATTCTGGTGGTTCGGTTCTATTGAAGGCTGATCCGTAACAGTCGATGAAGCACAGTTATTTTGAAATATGGCCATTTGCCAGCTATACTAGAACGTGACATAATATTTGCTGGAGTAACTGCCATGGGAAATGCTTATTTTCAACATTCAAATATTACCAGTGGATTGGAAAACACGACAGTACTACAACATTTCCTTGAGAGAACCCCATCGTTGGTAGAAATAGTAGAATTGTTTTTTTCTGTGAGCCTAACTTGCATCTTGCATATTGAAATTACTTATGATGCACTGTTTGGAACCTTTGGTGTCGTAATGAATACTACTGGAGTTTTTCTCAACACTAAATCGTTATTTTCAATAACTGAATAGAATTGGCCGATACTCGATGAAAACCCATATTAAAACTAATCAAAACAGTTTATTGTATGATTTTCACTATAAAGGATTTTACAAAAACCTATTGTATAGTTATTTGTTAGATATTTGTTAAACCCTTTATAGTGAAAATCATACAATAAACTGTTTCAATTGGTTTTTTTTTGTTATTTATGATACTTCGACACGTGTTTCAATCCCAAGTGATCATCTTCAAGAGGAAGATAAAACCAGATTAAACTGGATTGAACTGGTGATTGAAACACGTGTCGAGGTATTGGAAATAACGGTTTGGTGTTGATATAAAACCCCACTAATATTCATATTCAAATTGAAAAATTATTTGGAATTGTTCACCAAAATGTCAAACAAACCAAATTGCAACATGAATATATATTTCTTTAAAAACTCATTTTACGACTAGCTATTTTTTTCTGAATATTGACTGCAAAAGTACAGATTTTCAAAAATTCAAGGTTTATAATCCGAGAGCACCAAGTTCCATGAAAATCCATGAATTTCGAAATTTTGGTGAACTAATGATTCAGAGGTTTATTGATTTGTTTGAATCCCGAAACCCTTGATCGAGGGGTCATGTTTATTTTAGTCGGTTGAACAGGTCTAGTGCGTTGTAAAACTATAAAAGCTTTTAATTCTCATTTCTCTACTACTACGTAGTAGTATGAAAAACTGCCAAGTCTTGAACTTTTTTTTATCGTTTTTCGTTTCGTTTTTCTTGAATTGACGAAAATATTCAATATAAATTCACTCACATAGAAAAAATGGCATTGAACCACTGAACTTTTGGGGTTTATATTAATTTGTACTGAGTACCGGAATTTGGGGTGTCGTTCACATTGTTGGCTCTTAATGATAAATATTCCATATTATGTAAATCTCGACTCGTACGTCTGTTCACCTAATGATATAAGAGATCAGTTTTGTATTATTGATTGAAGTTACAAAGGCAGATAAAATTGGTATCGAGCAAGTCGAAGGAAAAATAAATATCATAAGTCAAAATTTGAGTTTTCATAGTCGCGTTCAACATATTTTCAAAATTACTCTCCTTGAATATCAATAATATTCCTTTCGGATACTTCTTCTCATGAAGAATTGAATAAATATGTAATTCACATAACATCACATTAAAGTTTAAAGGATGATAAATCCCTTATAAAAATTATATATCTCATATAATTGACGAATTTGTAACTTTGTACTCACCAAAGAAATATTATGATTATTGTCGTGAATGATATTAACCATATGATACAATCATTTGACGAAAACATTTTTTTGAAAGTGCCACTTTTCTTGGCGAATAAAATCACGGAAATGTGTGACTGAACCTTTGCTTTTATATTATAGTTCCAACAAATGAACCTTGAATAATAAAATGGTATCATTATTAAAAATTTATTTTTCGAAAAATATTCAAAAGTACTACCTAATTCATAACCTAAATTGAGCTCATTACAGGTCTCCTTGGTTTGTAGTGAATGATTAGCATGTTCTTATCACATATTTGTTGAATATACTAACATCATTACATGAGACATGGGTAATTTAGGCAGTTCCTTAACAACAACAAAATCAACAACATCCAAAGTTTTAAGATGGAATCAAGTTCTATCTATTGAACATAATTTTCTGTTTTTCATTTTGAGAGGGATAAAGAGCATCATAATAATGTTTCCATAATATAAGTTCCTTCTAGGGTAGTAAGTTCGGCGTTATATAAACATAACGTGGACTGAATAATGAAAAATATGCATATACTCGTACTCATAAAAATAGCGATCGTTGGTCCTAACATCTCCATTCTAATGAAACTTCCACAATGTAGCTGTTTCTACAGGGTAATAATGTGCCATATACCGTGACCTTCTGTTCATCAAAGCATCAACTAAAAAAACTATATTATTCTAACGGATTCCCTCAGCTCTCTGAATATACTGTAAAAATTGTATCCCACGAACCTTGTGTGCAAATCAAGAACCAACTCTATGAATCAGAGATGAATGGTTAAAACATAAATTTCATATGGATCCCATCACACAAAGGAATACGAGTTTATGGGCTCATTCAGGCTAATTTAGTTTTTTATTGAAAATTATATATTATAAAAGTAAATCAACCCGAAGTATCCCGCAAAATTTTCCGGTTTATACCTATGTCAATTAACAACTGAGCAAGAGCAATTGAAAATGTGAGATCGCCTGAGGTACATCTTGACGTCACACCAGGCAAACGAGCTTCGAGCGGTGGAAACCGGGCCTGTAGTTGGAGATTATGAATCGCTACTATCGTCAATTCAATTTAATTTTCTTCAAAGTGATGTATATATCAATTATGGGTAACTGGCATTTTTGAGACAAAAGTTGTATAATAAATAAAGAGTACCTTGGGATTCCAAGACATAATTTCAGATTTTTCTCTATGAAGTAAATAGATCTTCGCTCAATATTGTTTTTCGAATTCCAGTTTTCAACTAATATTCCAGACAAAGTAGAATCTGATGATGTATCAACAGAAGTCATGTCTGATGTACTCAAACTCTCACTGTCCTCGGGGTAACTTAGTAGTAATTTTTTCCAATACTTTCTGTATTTTCTATTTCTTCAGAACGATTTCTTTTTCGGTGGTATATAATATTTACGGTCTGTTTAGCTTTTGATCTTCGAAAAACCTGTTTATTAACTTGAATTCCAACATCAAAGGTCTTTTCCTGTGTACCTGCTTCATCACACATGATTTGATTTTCAGCGATATCTTCGTTACAAGTATTTAACAATATTTGTTTTTCCTTTTTTTGAACAAACGGTGGAGCTTTAAATGTATGGGCCGTCGGTCTATCAATCTGGCAATCAAATATATGCGAAATTACGCCTGGTTTCAATATAATTTTTCCCAATTTGATAGTTCTGATATAGGTACATGTAATTTTCTAAGTCTCTTTCAACCTGAAATTGAAAGTAGTGCTCAGAGTGAACTATAATTTTTTTTATTAAAACAAAAATGCGTCCCCTTGGCAGATACAAAGTCGGCCCTCCGCATAGCGCGCTGCCATAACTTTCGTAACAGTCAAATAAAAATTTTGTCTGGTGCAGTTACTGAAGAATTCTTGCATTTAGGAACGATGCGATACTTGTAACTTCATTTTTTATCACTATTCATATTCACGCAGTTGACACACTGCAGTAAACACATAACTTGCTTTCTACGGCTCTAGCACACGTATTTCGCTTATCCGCCGGCACTCCCTTGTCGCCGAGTCGACTGATGTGACGTCAAGCTTGACAACGCCCCGTTTCGGTGAACGTCACATTCAACAATTAATTTGAGGGGAAAGACAAAGAATGAAAATTCAGATTATTTGCAGATGTACTATTTGAAACATAAACTTTCGAATTATGAAATAAAAAAAAATTTGTTAAATGAGCCCATTAAAAAGTTGATGAACTAACCAAAGAAGCTGTAAACACAGCATTTTTTGAAATTGTAACAGGCGATATGCAGAATGCAAATAGAGAAACGATGCTGGCCGAATTCTCTCGAAAGTTCAGGATTGTTGTATAGCTGTCTAAAGTAAATTCAAATCCAAGATAGAGTGGGTGTAAACATTGACATGCCCTACTCACGTGATATTGAAAATCCCAAGAATTGGCCAGGGTCGTATTCAGAACATATTGTTGCTAATATTTCCATTGGATTTTTCACAGCGCACTCAAGCATTATATGAGAAGAGACGTAATCATTTCTTTATTGATAATTTTTATGTAAAATCAAAATAAATATTCATCAAAATTATTCAACTGGATGAATTTGTAGTGTCATCCTCACCAATCTGAATTATCAGTGGCTCGATTTGTGCCTCTATTATGTTATCAAGCTTCCACATCTTTGTCTCGACTTCCGATATCACATGCCGAACACACTTCTCCCATTTCTCCGCTGTGACTCTTTTCAAAACCTCATCAAAAAGTACTTCGAGATCTGCAAATTTGAACGTGGTGTAATGCTGAGCTACAAAATTCTTCACATCCGCCCATATTAACTCGATGGGATTGAGCTCGCAGTGGTATGGAGGCAGGCGAAGGACAATGTTGTTTTGGCCTGCTGCCATCTCATCGACTACATATTTTTGGTATTCATGCTTGCGCTCCTTGACAATTTTTAGTAGCTGTACTCTTAGCATTGAGTCTTCAAAGCTAATATTTTTTTATCGCAGCCAATTTTGGATTTCAACCTCCTTTGCAGACGTTGTCCGAATCTTTCCTAACCGTCGCGAATGATAAGGTGCATTGTCCATTACAATCACAGCATTATCCTCCAGATGGGGTAGAACTTTGGAAAACCACTGTTCTAAAGATTCACCGTTCATTACTTCGTGATAATCTCCAGTGTTTTCTTCGACTCGAAACACCACAGCCCTTCAGCAACAAACCCATTCTCATTGCCGATATGACAAATAATAAGCAAATAATAAGCCGTTTTTCTTTACCTGAAATAATGAAGAGGTATGTAAGTAAATAAAACAAATACGAGGGTTACTTTTTATATATTGAGATTGAGGCAGGTCTTAATATAAATATAAGTTTGCCTGATGGATTTGTTAATCCGGTGGATAGTCCATCTAGAAAGGCCCTCCTAGATGAGGTCACAGTTTCATCGACCCATACTTTAGGGGTAGTATGACCAGCATTAACCAAGATTTCATCCATATAATACATTGTTCTCTGTTGTTCCCTATATTATTTAATTTTGGTCAGATACTCTCTCCTCCATAACACAATTTCCTCTCTATCCAATAATCAACTATTGCGCTCTCGTTTTTTCCATACAAAATTCAAAAGTTTCAATACTTTATGGAATGTTGACCGCTTAAAACTTGGCAATAAAATATCTTCATTTATTTCTGTGAGTACTTTGTCTATCGTGGGTATTCTGAAAAAGTATTCATGCACTTTCCTCCTGATTGCATGTTTATCAGCATCATCTATTGATTTTATAATGGTTTTACGATTCTGATTTGTATTCGGTTTGGAAAATATATGATTTTGTTTACATTCCCGTAAAACATTGTAAATCGAAGCGCAACACACTCCAATTTTATCGGAAACTTTCGATACGACTTCGTCGACAGTCGATGTCTCAATTTCTTCCATCTCTTTCTTGAACACATTTAAAATCACTTCTTTCATCTCAAACTCAAATGTCTTTTTTTGGATCGTTTCCTGGCTGGACTCAGAGGATAGCTCACAGTGTCATCAGCAGTGTCTGTACTGGACATCTTGGAAAACAATTTTAAAAAATATACCTATAACGCACGCCACACGAATACGCAAACGACTGATTACAACCCTGTGCTGGTACCGAACTCATACCAAGAAAGCGAATTCACCAATGAACGCTGCCCTTTCCATCTGACACTGGGCGATCACGTGAACATCAAGCTTCGGTTTTGTTTTGTTTTACTCTATCTTGGATTTGAATAGACTTTAGAGTTTTAAAATCGTTAAAGCACGCTCTACAGGTGGAAATGGGAACTTTTTTCATGGATCAGCTGATGCTACACTATATGACGAAGGAACAATGCAGGCATAGGCATATGTTCTGATTCCCGTAAGAAGCCGGGTCAAGTCACTAATTTCTTTGAATACAGATTTCCTTTAATTGAAAAAAACATGGTTATATGGTAAATTGTACACACGTGAAATTCTGACGCGCAGTGTGATGCACTGTTTGGAACCTTTGGTGTAGTAACGGAGTTCCATCCCAACACCAAACCGTTATTTTCAACACCTCGACACGTATTTCAATCACCAAGTGATCATCTTTAAGAGGAGGAATAAACACAATTCATAATCAAAACTTGGCATAACTTGCTTGGAGAAACATGCTGTCTAAAATGTTTTGAAATATTTATTGACAGATTATTATATCTGGATAACAAACATTGTTGGTATAGTCTGTAAATTTTTACGCTCGACGTTTACTCTACGACTGCGGTGGTCACATGAATAATTCATATTCCATAATAAGATTTTGGTCGATATTGGACAGCCAGAAAAAGTTTTACTGGAATCTAATAATCGTATTCCTATAAGCTATCATTAATTTTTGTAGAATAAAGCTACTTTCAGTGATGGGATTGTTCAGCAATACTTTTCCGGTTATTTTTTGTTATATTTGTTATATTTTTGAACATACCCGTTAGTAAAAAAATAGTCCACAGCAATAATTCACCAATAGCCTGACCATCACCAGTATTCGCAAATGTACCGGAGATATTTCATCCCACTCTAAATTCGTGAAATTGTAACAGTAATA